GCACCTGGCTCCCCAGGCAGGACAGAAATGTAGCCCTCAGCCCCACTCCCCTCGGCTCCTCTCCCCTCCGCGCTAGGCACCTGTAACACCGAGTCTAGCCTGGCTGCTGCTTCCCCCGTTCCCTAGGACCCTGGGCACAGCTCGGTGCTCTCCTGACATCCCTCTGGCTCCTTGTGCAAACTACCTGCCCTTTCCCTGAGCTGTGACCCAAAAACCCTCCAGAGCCCCCCCACCCTGACAGGTGTGTGCCCAGCCATGCCTCGTACTCCTGCCATACCTGTGACCCACAGAACACCCCCCATGTAAACCTAGACACCACTGCCTCAATCTCTCCTTTTACCTGGGATCCTAGACACCTGTCTGGCTGTGTCCCTCACCTGCCCCCCATACTCCCCGTCAGTCACCTGTGATACTGAGCCTGCAGGAACTGGAATTCTTCCTTAATCCGGTCGCAGATTTCCAAAATCGAGAACTTGAAGGGCTGCCCAGACTGAAGCGGAGTCTAGAGCGCAGAGCGGGGGGAGATCAGACACAACGCTGCTGCCACCCACCCCATCGCCAATGCACTGCCCTCCCCTCCCTTAGCTCACGGCCCAAGGACTGCCCCTGCCCCTGCCCTATGCCAGAATCCAGCCCAGCTCCTGGCTTTCCCCAGCCGGCCCGGAGCACAGGATGGTACTTACAGGGTGCCGTCCTTGTGGGTACATCCTGGGGGGCTTGCCCAAAACTGACGCCCACCGGAGGAGAGAGGGCACTCTCTTTTCCCTCCCCAGCCCCGCTTCTTTTTTAACTTCTCCAAAAGCCGCCGGTCCCCGGGAGATCAAGAGGGCGAGGAAATCTTGTCTCAGGGAGGGATGGCCGGATATTGGAATCTTCCTCGGATTTGTTTTTAAATAAAATTATTTATTGTTGTGGGTACGGCTCAGCCGGGGCGAAGAACATTTCCGTCGGGTGAAAGGGGCGCGAGGCTTCCTCCCCAGTGGGTCGTACTGGTCCGGGTTGCTTCAGCCCCCCCATCGGACACAGGGCTGGGGGAAATACAATCTGTCTTAAAGCGCCAAAGGGAAAAAAAAAGAAAAGAAAAAGAACCAGCAGGAACAGAAGGTCAGTAGAAAATCTGGCCGGATTTCAACAGCGGTCCCTGGCTAGAATGAAAACTGCCTCCTGGCAAGGCAAAGGGAGAGTAGGGGAGCCTGTCGAACTGGATCCTTAAGGTGGCTCTTTCTCGGCAGGAGGTGGCACCAGGGGCTTTGCCCACGGCTCTGGGAGCCACACCAGGGATGCTTCCCACCCACTAGAGGTGCCGGAGGGCAGCAAGGCCTGGGAGAGCGACCCCCCCCAGGCTAACTGAACTGAGGGAAGCAGCTGCTCCCACTTCCCTACCAGCACCCCCACATCCTGCTGGGCCCCGACTGGCCGACTCAGTCTCCAGGTTGCTTGGCCAAAATGGGGGGGGAGGGTCAACCGCCTCATTGACCTTTCATGTCCTAAGGGCTCTTCAGCTCCCATCTGGCTCTGCTCTATCCCTGCATGGCCCCCCTTCAAGTGTGGGGCTGGGCTGCATTCAGATAACAATGGGGACCCCCTAAATATTCCCCTCCCTCATGCCCTAGGCACACCCGCCGTTCTCAGGCCCCTTCCTTGTCCTTCCTCTGTGCCCCAACATTTCTTCCTTCTCCTCTGCCCCCAGACTCTCCCCCCTGGAGTTCTCCCACCCTACTGACTGCTGGGATCTTCCATGGCCACAGGGACCCAGGCTGCCCCCCCGTAGAGCCCTGCATGGGTACAAATTTGTATCCACATCTGTATCTGCAAAAATGAGTCGCGGCACTCTGCATGCACATCTGCGGCTGCGGAGCCCCGTGCTATAAAGCGGATTTGCTGGACTCGACCCCTCCGCCAGTGCCTCAGACAGGTGGGCCCAGATCTGAAGGGGCCTGGGTGAAAGCCCCCTCCCCCAGACCCAAATGAAACCAACCTCAATAAGCATTGCCCTCTTGGGGCCCGCGGTGCCTCCATCTACTTGGGTTCGTTCTTCCTGGCCCTTTGGACAGCAGAGCTACACAGCCGCTTGGCGCTAGCCCCTGGCTTGACCCTGGGCACAGGGAGCAGCACGCACTGTGTGCTCTGCAATAAAGGCGTCATAAATCTATACTCATCAAATATATTCAGGGTTAGAATCTCTGTTTGACCCAGTGATCCAAGCCAGGCTACTGTGTTCCCCAGGCCCTGAGCTGCTGCCAGGACTGGTTTCCATGGAGAGAAAGGAGAAAAACTAGGAGCTGGTTTTGGTGGTAGGAAGGCACCTACCCCACTGATCCCATTCCTCCCAGCACCTCCTGCAGGGAGCAGACCAGCGCGGCTCCCCACATGGCTTTATAGCATGATTCATACAGAGCAAAGCTACACCTGGCAGAGGTGACGCGGGAGTTCTCCTCCACCCATCACATCTGCCCCATCTCTCCTACACCCATCATGTCTGCTCCCATCTCTCCTACACCCATCAGACCAGCCCCAGCTCTCCTACACCCATCATGTCTGCTCCCAGCTCTCCTACACCCATCAGACCTGCCCCATCTCTCTTACACCCTTTTCTACAGCGCCTCCTGCTGGCAGGGTCAGAGCCAGGCCCAGCCAGCACTCCCGCCCCATTCCCTACAGCGCCTCCTGTTGGAACGGTTGGAAGAACAATGTCTCCCTGCGTTAGAGTGATTCCAACAGGAGAGTCCCCTGAAACCACAGCTGCTGATTATTAGGCTGGGAGGCAACAGTGCAGCCGGGTTTTCCCAGGCTCCCGAAAAACTGGGAAAGGCCTGATCATTCCTGAAGCAGAAGCTTCCAAAAGCCCCCCCTCCCCCCAGGATCACCATTAATTATTATTATTATTATTACACCCGAGCCTTCATGCTGGTGCACAAACCAGCCCCTAGGTCCACCTTAAACAGCTTTGCAGCCTTTGCTACTGGGGACCAGCTTCCATTGGCTGC